TAAAAAAGTCAGTGTCACGAGCGGGATTCGAACCCACGACCTTCTGCTTGATACGCCGCTACTCTACCACTTGAGCTATCGTGACTTCGATCTCCTTGGGCACTAACATCCAATCTCAACCCCACCAATTCAAAATGTCAAAACCGACCCCCAAGAAGAATACATTGAAACGAATGTAACCCCACACAATAGGCCGGTAGGGCGGCGCGGCGCGGCGCCAGNGAAACCGGCTCCGCGCCGCGCCGCGCTTCTGGCCAAGTGTGCGCTGGGCGGTCGGAAATCGTTGAGTTCGGGTATATTCGGTTGCCCTCGGACGCCATATTGTAAAGACGAAGCCAACCATTGTGGGGACTCCTGGAAATGCAAAATCAACACTAAACCGCAGCGCTAGTCAGATGGAGGGGGAAATTTGACCAACAAGCCGAGAGCGGTTCCTACATAGTGTGCGGACCTTCACAATTCCGCGCCGCCCCACCGACCTAGTGTGCGCCTAGCTTAATGCGTATATGAAGCGGGAAAATTCTGTTTTCTGAAGGACTTGGTAAAATCTGTGGTCAGGTATGATCTCCGTAAGCTATACTTCGCATGACGGATGATATTCGTCAGTTGCCAAAGCAAGCCCGAATGCCAGACTGCAAAAAAATGAAAAAGGTGTTTGTTTAATCCACAACATTGTTGACTGCTCCTCACGAATCCAACAAATTATTTCTATTAACAATTAATATCTCATTTTCTTGGAAATTTCATGATGAGTCTTAAATAAAAAACCTATTTCAACAAATATTGCTAAAATTATGGTGTTGCTCTTATGGGAGAATTCGTTCTCACAGCATAATAAAGTAAGTTACTTTTTTTTGTAATACAAGAATTCCTAGTATTACATAAGAACATACGAGGGTCCCTTTTGAGCGTTTGGGTACAATTAAGTTCCCAGGGAATATCGACGGCCCTAGAGAAGTGCAGCGGTGTGTGATTGTAATTTATTTGTGATTGTAAGTTTATTATTAGTGTTAGTATTAGTAGTACATATTTACTAATCGTATATTCTCGAAAATGTCATGCAGAGTTTTAAATGTAAAACTATATTGTAATAAATTGTATTAAAATTGTGTCTTTGCACTAAGGACGAATTACCCTCTTAAGCAAAATGAACGAGTAATAAACAAGGCTCAGACCACGCATAAGGGCAGTTGTTTACGACGGCGGCTTGACTATAATTAACCCTTTGAACCGATTGTTGAACGCCTATTACCTCATAAGACATACATACTACATCAACAACCCCGTGGTGAAACGCTTAAGTCCGTTTGAAATCATGAAGATTTGTTTGGTGTGTGACTCATTATTCAGTCACCTAATACTTCGACGAGCCTTTACAAGGTTGGTCTTAAAATAGATATATAGATAATGATGTTTATTTACAATAAAAATTATTTTACAGAAAATATTCAGTACATAAAACATCCTAGACAATAGCCCACAGGCTGTCTGTCGAGTTGCCAAAAGAAAAACATAGCACAATATTAATAATGTTAATAATACGAATACTAACAATACTAATACAAATAGTCATAATTTACACAATACTTTATTAATAATTGAAATTATCTATTAGGAACGCTCTGTATTTTAGGGAGTACACAACATAATTGTAGAGACTGTCCCAGTTCTGCCCATTCAAAAATTAAATTACTTCATTTTTTTCTAAAAACAATTTGCCAAACCACCTAAGTCTGAATTCCTTCAATATAGGGCACACTGCCAAAAAATGGAAGCCATCCTCATGCACACCTAAATTACACAAAGCACAACGGTACGCTTCCTCATTTCTGTGGACCGAGTAATTAAGAGTAATTAACTGACCTCTTGCCTTCATTATCACACTTATCATATTCAAATTATAATTTTTATTTAAATAATGGTGATTTTCTCCTAATTCCAGATTCAGTTCTTTGTATAAACCCTGGACGACAGACCGTTGTGCTCTTAATTTTAGTTTATTTTTAAAATCAGTTCTCAAAACATCTACCAAGCTTTCCACCCTATTTTTATTTACGTCGGAGTAACTCAAGGGGGTTAAACCGTGTTGTAGACACAAATCGTCAAATTTTTTTGCCCAAAATATTTTCTTGTCTAGTATTTTCAAGGTCAAAATTCGAGGAAGTCTAGCAGAAGACAATGATAAAACTTTTTGGATGTATGTCAGATGCAGGCTTAATGCGTTGAAAAACAATGGGTCCAATCCCTGTCTCTAAATATAAGACATAATCAGATATATCCTTTCTTAAGAAAAACAACCTTTTGACAAAATATTTATTCAATTTCTTCACACTGTCATACCATTTATTGCCCCAAACCTGAGCACCATATAACATTACCGCCGTGGAAACAGAGTTAAATACATTATATTTTACTGAAATGGGAACATCACTGTTCGACAAGAGAGACTTCCAAGTAGAATTAATACCAAATTTGGCTACATTTAATTTTTCTTTAAGATGTCTTTCCATAGCAAGCTGCGGTGTGAGATATTTACCCAGATATTTATAATGGTTCACAATCTCAATATTTTGTCCAGCATAGTTCCAAACCTCTTTTCTCCCAAGCCTACCCCCTCTGGGGAAGACTGTTATTTTTGACTTGTTTAAGTTAACAAACAAATTCCATAACTGACAATACTCGTAAAGCTTATTTATCATTTTCTGCAGTGTACTGGGCTCCGTTGCTAATAATACAATGTCATCTGCATAGAGCAAACAACAAACATTCAACCCATCAATATGCAATCCACCGCCTACAAAATCACATAGATTATTGATATATAACGAAAATAAAAGTGGAGATAGTAAACAACCTTGCTTTAGCCCTATGTTTGTCTTAAAGGTATTTGAAATTCCCTCCTTCATCCACACAGCAGATTCAGTTTCCTCGTACACTCTTTAAAACAGTTATAAATTTATTCGATAACCCTATCATGTGCAGTTTATAAAATAAAAGATTTCTATCTGGCGAATCAAATGCAGCCCGAAAATCTACAAAAAAACAGTACACTTTTTTCCGTTTTTCGCACAGTTTTAATTTCACAATATTAAAAAGACTGAACAGACTATCTACCGTTGAGTAACCCTGCAGGAACCCAGCCTGAAACTCATTCAAAGCATTATTCTCGATTACCCACTGTTGTAAACGTTTCAAAATTAGACCAACAAACAATTTCGATATAGTATCAGAAAAGGCAATCTCTCTATAATTGCTGGCAACACTCCTATCACCCCCTTTAAATAACGGGAATATTATTGCCTTACTAAAACTACTGGGTACGACACTTGTATCATAAATATAGTTAAAAACTCTTAGTCTGAAAGTTAGTTGGACTGTTCTTATAAAATTCGTATGGAATACGATCAAACCCTGGTGTTTTCTCAATTCGAGCTTTTCTTATAACTGACAATAACTCCCCCAATTCAAATTCTTTATCCAGAGATTCTATATTGACTAAAGCAGGAGCATACAAAACAGGGGTCTTAAAATATTTAAATTATAAAAAACAAACATTCGCCAACATCAGCCTTACGTTTTATTTACGTTTCGGCCTAATCAGCGAGTCTAGCGGGCTGTTAACTGAGTTAAGAAACTTAGTTAACTGATAACTAAGATCTGTAATTTGTTGTTCGTTTACATAGTAGAGGTATTAAAAAGTTTGTGACTAGTTCTTTTTTACTTCATCCACAGATTTAAATATAATACTGTTAAAATCAAAGAGGAAGTTTTGACGTTGATGTTAGGAAAATCTGGTTTCCTCCCGGAGGAAAAATATTAAGATTAATAGCTGTTGAAGTTAACGGATTACGGGATTTCAACCTGCCTTACTTTACTATATCAAATAATTAAAATTGCTTGAATTTTATACAAATATTATGTGGTTATTGGTTATGCCCCCGCCCAAAAAAAAGAGGAATGAGCGCCTATGATATACTATTCCGCATATTTACATACCATTTGAATACCCATGATAGAATATTTAAGGTGATTTCATGTTTTAACTAATTTACGGAAACTCAGTGCTGCCGTTGTGCTTCAAATCCACATTATCTATGTATTCAGAGAAAGTGAAAATTCAAAATGTAACATCATCGGTTAAATATCCGCAACTATCCACGGTAGAAGTTCAGACCCAATCGTTTCCTCAGGCATCACATCCGCTGAAAGTAGTGAAAGTTCAAACAAATTGCTCAACATGTCGTTTCTTCTGTCCGACAAATTAACAGGCATGAACCTGAATATAAACTGTTATTATAAAAATAATTTACAAAACGGTTGGTTTAGGTACAAACTCTGTCTGGCTGTTATAAAACTATTAACATGTAAGATAATAGAGGAGAAAAACAAATTGAAAAATCATTTGGGGGGGGGGTAGCGGCAGTTTTCCAACGAACATCTTTTTTTGCCTTATTTGTTTTCTTACCTTAACTTCTACATGATGGATTTTGTTTATGATATGTATTTCTTTTCAGGAAGTATGTAATTTATGTTTAATTATCAAAATTTCAAATTTTAGAGAACTTCAATTTTTTCCGAGGATTGTAATTGTTCAAAGACTGGACACAAAGTTGTCATTTTTACATCTCATTTTCTTAAAATCTATTCGGTCTATTACAATCAATCTTTTTAATGTTTTATTTTTGTAACTATACTATGAATTCATAACTAGGGCTTTTTAAAAATAGCGAATCGCTAATTTTTGGCCACAACCAAAATTTGTGAGAAAATGTTATTTGTAGTATTTCTATTGCTCGAAATCTATGAGACGAATTTCATTCCGTGACAAAAAAGGCTGTAGCTTATTATTTTTAGTATCGTATAGAAAACATAATTAAAAGAAAGTGACAGCTCCGGTGGTCTGGTTGGGCAGAGAAGCAACTCTTAGAAGGGTCATCCTCACCCAATTAAGAATAGGCCATTCGAGGAATTTGGGTCAGAGCTGAAATCGTCGGGCTTACCTCAATTATAATGCGCTTCCTAAGTTCCTAATCTTGTGCCAACAACCTGCAACAAAACGAAAAATATTTACATAAAATTATCTTATATTTTCATAAATATATAACATGTCAAAGAAGGTTATTATAAAATGTATACACAAATTGATTTGCGCTCAATTTTTACCACTTCCAAAAAAATTCATGAACCTGAGAATCAACTTATGATGAACCAGTCGTCACGCTTAAAGGATTAATGTTACATGTTGTTGAATTTCAATTTTAACCCAGAAAATAAACCAAGGGGGGCCTTTTATTAATGCTGTAGTGAGAAACACTATCCATTGTTTCCAGACATCCGTCCAACATTTCGAGTCGAAAAAATGCCCGTACGCTCTCACCATCCCTGTTCAATATAAATCCGTTTCCCCTTTGTTCTTTCCGCTTCATCTCAAAGAGACATTTTCCCCAAGCGGAAACGTTTCAGAAAACATTATGTTTTATTATTTAAATACAGGGGTTTCTTCACTCGGAAAGAGGTCGGCTGTCAGCGCGGTTTCCTTTGGGGTTATTGGCTCGTCGGATATTGAGTCTGGTAGTGCTGAAGAAGAACAGCGTTCCTGCCGATCCTCGCCTTAATCTAGCCTTCACGCTGAGGGATTTCTTGATGGATTAGAGGCCTCAAGCCGCAGCTTTTGTCAACGGCATATCTCACCCGACCACTTCCCTATCGGCTTTTCCCCACGGCCACCCGCCACCAAACCGCATCCCTTCTTATTCTCTTCCAATGGAACAAAAGGAGAAGTTGAACAGTAGATCAAGCCTCCCCTTGTCGCCAGAGCCCAACTCATCTCGGCTCTGAAATAAACACCTAGTCCGAATCCCTGATAAAATGGATAATTGTTCCAGAAAGTTGGGAGCTGAACTTTTTCCAAGCCCCGTCCAGGATGTGCATGCCAATTAATCATTGAAAATAAAAGTGAAAAGAAGGAAGTTTGACTGTATATAGAAATCCGAGATGACAATTCTCATACTGATGACTGCTAATTCTAGTTTTAAAAAAGTAACAAAAGGGTGTTGTTTTCTTTTTATGACCATTTGAAACGCCCAAGCTTTGAATCAACATTTTTGACTGGATTATTATTAAAGGTAATAACGAACAATGAGTTTCTTTCTGCATACTAATATAATACAGAATCTTTCCTATTATATATAGATAGTGGTCAAAGAAATTTGAATCCTTTTATTAAGAAACAAGAACTCAATTTGCCCTGATTGTTCGACATTGTTCGACTTAGAAAACAGGTCGAAAGCTTGACAATTGATTTTTGTTTCCTTCTACTTGACTATACCGAAATCCAGATTATTCAGATATTTCCAAAAAGAAACAGGCACCCAATTTGTTATCATCTCTGTTTTCTTGCGCCTTGTACGCCCGGATAAATTTATTCATTTAACTTAACCAAATAACTTTTAGACTTTTTTAGAACTTTTTTTTAACGAGGGTTCTCAACATCAGAGGTCATATAAACCCTCAGGGTGCCGGTGTTTTTGAAAAAAGCCCATTTGTAAGTATGTCGGGTTCGAATGCAGGGCCGCTGGATTCGAACCCGGGAAGTTTACCTTACAGTGATGAGCGCCGTGTCAAAGACTAAACCTTGCGGCCACCGACGCCCCCTTTTAGATTTAGTTGTCTTCATTTCTTTATTAGTAGATTTTTCCCTTTTATTGGTTGAATAATTTTAAGTAGAATTTCTCAGTCTGTGCCTATGGGAAATAATATGAAAAATTCTATATCAATGGAGTTCGCTTGACTCTGAACTATATTGAATGGAGAATGGAAAGTATATGTTCCTACTGAAGGCCAAATGGAAGTGTCAGGATTTCCAGTGGTATGTAATGGAAAGTTAATTAATTGGATAAGTAATCGGCATTTTATCCGATTATTCAATAATTTAAAGCGAAATATAATATCATTAACAATTTAATTACCACATTTTATGGTTAGCTGGAAAAGCTCTAGGGCATATGTGGTATTTAAACGTTAACTGTTGGTCAAATAGGAGGCCTTGGTCATTAATAATTTTAACTCAAGTGAGTGGTTGTGCACGTGTAGGTTTTAGAATTATTGCACCTTGATAAACGCATATGGAAACATTTGGAAATGTAAAGATATAAATCGTTATTTAAACACCAAGAATAGAACTTAAATTATTTTGGAGATGTAAGTAGTCAGAATAAGAAATAAGAGGTTAAAAAATATGTTAATTGAAAACAAAGAAAAGAAAAACGATATAATTAAACTCAGTATAAATGCAATTTATGATAATAAGAAATAAAATAGTTACTATGAGATCCCTGAGAAACTCCTTAAGTAACTGAGAATTTGAAAGAAACAAAATTATATTGGTATTTTTTTTATAAAGTTTGGACACACGATCTAGAGAAACCCACTACACTGGCAAAGTACGGTAGTAAATAGATAGATATTTGATTTTAAAAAATATTTAAGTCCTGAGCGAGGTATGGCATTTTCATATCTTGTAAATGTTTATTATAAGTCGTGGGAAAGTGAATAAAAAATATTAAAACTAACATTGATTTTGGAATAGAAAAGAGTTCTTGAAACATTTGTCAGAAATGACAGAAAATATGTTCTGAAAATAATGTTCATGGCACTATGAATGAAGCGGGACGGTTTAACAACTATTGTCACGGATCCGACCAGATATTTGTTTAAATTTTTCAAGATCCTAATTATTAGTAAAATTTGTAAGAATTTTCATTTCAATTTTATTACATAACAAAAAGATATGTTAACGAAATTATTAGTTATTGGAGTGGTAATGGTTAAATGTTTATGTTACTATCGAATATGAATGTCAAAACGGAACGGTTGCAGGAAACAAAGTCTCAACAAAGTTTCAGCAGTTGATACCGCTTTGTCGACACGAATATCACCCCATTCACAGACTTCAATACTTTGACATACCTGAGCTATTAATGTGGTACCATGGGAATTTCATACCATGGGAACCTCAACAATTTTCGAAATGAATCCGTAGTACTATGAATGAAGCGGGACCGTTTAACAATTATTGTCGATGCTAGATTATGCAAAATATATAAAAATCAAGGAAGCTAATAAAATGGATTTAAAAACCTTAACCATTTTCTTTATTATACCTACAATATGCACTCGATGAAAGAGATACAGAGGACGTGGTTGAAAATTATTTGTCATATTGATCATATTGCTTGAAGTAAAGGATTTCTTTTGTTATTACAAGCATTGAGTTATATAAAAGAAAATACATCAAATATAAATAAATAAAAAACATTTCTCTATGTGACGACACCTGTGGAATTTTTAGAGACAATCGAGATTTAGGGATTTGTATTAGAATAACAGGAGGATCTACAAGATCATATAAAGACTTTCAACCTATTCGTGGAATAACAAGCACATAATCCTCCATCTTAGAATGGATCCAAAATGTCAAAATAAGAAGAAGATAAACTTTGGAAGTGCTGGGCACAGTAAGCTTATGGTCATACAACCCTCAACACAACCGGCTAACTTACCGCTACCGTTAGAGAGGGCTACATTAGAGGAGTTATCCTCTGATGACTGGTATCTGAGAAAGCCATATGGGTATAATCAATTTTGACCCCCATTTGTAATTTACGAAATTAGGAGGAAGAAACAGCCGCTTGCGAATGAGAAGCAGAAAGGAATTGTAGCAACGACACTCATTGACCTAGTATTTCTTAGGAGAAGGATCAAGTCAATTGTACTGATCTAAGAAACTAGGCAAGTACAATAAGCCAGAAGGTTGGAATGCATATGGAACAAAAATCCCACTTCCTAATATCCATCATCATCATCATATGTAATCTTAATTTTCCCATTGAATTACCATACTCCTCGAAATAAAAATGTGGTAGTCTTACAAAGAAGACCGTTCAAAAGATGATTGAATGACAGAGTTTTCATTAAATTATCAATTTCTGTGAGGTGTAGTGATAAAAGTTTTTTTAAAAACTTTTTTTTTAAATTTCATAGCCTTGTGTCCGTGAAACGGAAATCGCTTGATCGGAAATGGTGATGATTCATTCATTCGATTAAGGAAGATTTGAATAAAAAATATATAAGTAACAGAAGAAATCTATTATTTGTGGGAAAAGATCGTTTTTTCTTTAAAAAAATGAAATACTCGTATCCTGTGAGTGAGTTTGCAACGAGGCAATAAGAAAAACAGGGGTTCAAGTTACGAACGAGTGTTAATTCCTTTTTTCGTTAATACCCCACTTCTCCACTGTGCTATGCTACCCATACCTTGGGTTGGTTGCCACGGAACCCGTAACAAGTTAGAAAACCAATTTTTGTGGCATGCTACACCACTTAAAGTCTGCTATCACCCAACAATTTTTTGCAATTCATAGCCAATACCCTGTAAGAGTTTATAAGATTATATAATAAACGGGTTTTTATATTTTGCTTCCAAGCTAGTTTTTAGATTGCCCTCAGAATGATACATCTTCAAATTCAATTTACGAAAAAAAAGTTAAACTGCATGACGATAATTTTGAAAATACCTGCCAGCCGGTTCGAGGCATAAAAAGGATAGAAGGGAGAAGAAAAACAGACCGGCTAGGATCGTGATTTCGAAAGAGAAAATTTGAACACAGACCGAAGATTTAAAAAAAGAAAAGAGAGAAAAAAATTAAGAAAAACCAAACCAAAGAAAGAAGAACCATCAATTTGCCTCCCAAAAAGGTGTTTTTGTCGTTTCTTTTATACGTATAAGTATTTGTACTGTAGTCAAATTATTTTATTATTTTTTATCAAACTCACTTTTCAAAAGGTCACTACTATTTTAGTTCGGGTTTTCAAATTTTTATGTTATTGGCAAAGGGTTTAATTTTATTTTCTATTTTCAATAAATTTTTAAGTTTTTTTGTTCAAACGTAGTTATTATCATTTTGATGACCAGTTCGTTTTTGTTCAAATTCTTTTCTTTCAGTTTTTTTCGTATTTTTACATTGAGGCATTCAGGAGATATTAGC